AAAGAATGGCAGCCTGGAATCTGGTTCAGCGGTTTGGGGAATCGCGAGAGGCTGAGCAGAACCACCGGCTGGTCTTGAACAAGGTTGACGAAGCAGTGACGACAAAAGACGCTGAGGCAACAGGGACGCAAAACGATGGTTAGAAAGAGGCTTATGCAGATTGATGACCCCTGCCCTGTTTTTGATCCAGGAGAGGTGTGTGGTGGGTAATGAAGCAGTCAGTTAGTAAGGATCCTCACCATCGCAAAGCCAGTCAATAGGGGGTCAGCCATCTCTTCTTCCATCTGTCTGACAATGTGCTGGCTGCAAGGGGGGAAAAACAGTGGGCAGGGCATGGACAGATTACACAGACGGGGCTATCTGATGATCTCCAGGCTGTTCAGTCTTACTGCCACCAGCCTGTTAACACTCACATTGTTGTCTGAGTAACACCTCAGTAGCACTGGTGTATGATCTCTGAAGCTAGAGATTGCGCTTTTACACCGATATGAAAATCCTGGGCCTATGCTAATAATCAGTATTTCCACATCTTTATTGGCTAATACTGGAGTTTCAGTCATCTTCCATTTAGCCTAAGCCAAATATGCATGATAACAGATCAAATTAAATAGCTTATACAGCTCTGCTGTGAAAATGAACAATAGAGCAAGGTACTCCATTGTGATAAAGAGCTTTTTGGCAAAGCCAGTCAGTGCAAAGCCACACGCATGTAAGAATATTTAGGACTGGGAAATTCCAATAATATTGCATCTTTTGCTTTTCGCATAAAGGCTTGCATGTGTATTATCTTGTGAGCAAGTAATAAAGAGCAGGACTTCTCGCAGTATTGCTCAACCTTTGCCATTATTACCAAACAGCCTCAGTGCTGTGTGGGATGAGCACTTAGAAATGCAGGTCTTAAGACACCTGTAGTATTAAGCATGAAACTAGGCTGTTTAGAAAAGGATTAGGGAATTTAAGGGTTTGTTCACAAGTGGAAACTTGCCCCATTCATTAGCATCCTAACCTTGTGAGGAAACTCACTGTTGCAGAAAATTACTCAATGCAGAACCAATCATCCAAACAAGTGTCTGTCTGGGAGAAATGACAGCAGGTCATAGACAGAGACGTGACAAAAAAGGCAATTTTGAAAAAAGGAAAAAATTACAGATAAAAACTGGGCCTGTTCCTGACCTATCAAGCTCGCAAGTTACGGCTATAATCTAGTCCAAAAGAATGAAGAGGCATGCAACAAGCTAACTATGACAAATCAGGACTGACATATCAATCCTTTGCCTCTTAGTGGATAATAGTCAGTGTAAATGAGAACAAACTGGATGGAGCCTATTCTGATCACACTTACAGCTTTGCTATTGATTAGATTGATTTGCGCTTCAATATCTTCATGTTTAATGGTGGACAAGCTTCTTGCTCTGCCGTCATACAATCCCATTAAACCCTCTAAGCACATCCCTCCCCTGAGCAGGGGGTCCTGTCTCAATGCAGCTCGTTTGTGTGTGAACAAGTGGGGCATTCCTCAGAAACTCAATCCGCCTCTATTAACTACGACAAGCACAAACCAAAGCTCAAGAGCAGAACCTGACATAACGCAAGCTTCACAGTGATCCTTCGACACACCCACAATAGGCCGATCCGAGCAGGCGGTCCAGGTTGATTATTTCAACACTGCTGGCATTGCTCAGTCTGTGGTTATAAAAAGCGAGGCGCTCCGCAACAGCACACAAGCAGACACAGGAGCGAGGACAAGGCCATGAGACTGACAGAGATAGTGTGCGTTAGTCTTTATATTGCCGTCGTCTCTGTGGGCGGCACACACATGCGCTTGCAGTTTCTTTTTGACCTAATGCTCTGCACATTTCTCACTTGCCTCAGGTTCCCCACTACAGGGCCAGTTCAAGCCACAGACATTGAAATGTTCATAAGAGTCAATGTCAACATCTTGAATCTTTATGAACTAACATGGGCATGAATAACTTGCCCAGAGCTCAGTGATGTGAATGCTAAAAGCCCTCAATTGGGAATCAAAGTACCTGCCAGGTTTCTTTTTGCTTTCTTTGAGTTACAACGCTGACAAACGGTCATGATATAGAACTGAAACCACAAATAGCTATAATGTTTATCACTCTCTGTTAGCATACTAAGCAGCGGCTGTGTTGCCATTTTGGAAATTCCTTATTGAGGTTTCAGGTTTGTTAGTAAAAACTGATAGTGATTAGTAATGAACTTAATTCCCCAGTCTAAGTCATTTCTTGACTGGCTTACTACTCATGCATTTCATACAGTGCCTACAGCGCTGCATTTACATTCACGTGGAATATTTCAACAATCTGGAGCAGTGGGTCACAACGCTAGCTGTATTTATTTAATAGATAAGCATTGCAACAACAAATGGACACAATGAAGTCATGATTCCTAGCAAGCTGGAGGTGACCACTCTGCACCGAGCTGCTCAACACCACCCCCTTCCCCTTGCTGAGACCCTAGTACCTAACTTAACCTTTACTACTAAGCTATTTGTCATCAGGGTGCAAGTTAATTCACCCAATTTCAGACGCATTAAGGATATAAATTCATGTAAGTTATCAAGGCGAATTCAATTAATTACATGAAAAATATACTTAAAATAGACTCAATTGTGAGCTCATTTCAGCTCATCAGCCAAAATTAAATTAAATGAACTGAAATTGAGGGAATTGACCTCAACAAAATAGCTAACCCCAAAATATTAATCCTTACCGCCCAAACGACATAACAGTTATTCACAACAGGATCGTTAGTGAAATGCCAATTAAGCTCCTCATTCAGTAACAATGTGGGCTCATTCGTTTTCTAGGCCTGACTCTAGGTGTGAAGGAACTGTTCCTCCTAAATCATCTATTGTCCCTGTGTGCAAGCTCTAAATTAAATTACCGCTCATCCTTTTGTTTCTTCTCCAATGCTCCTGTTGACACATCCTCACAGAAAAAAAATGCTGTCTTCACACTGCAGCTCTGGGCCAAGGTCAGCCATCGTGTTTGCACAACCCAAGGTTAAAAAATAAAGTGATAGATTTCCGGGTACGCTAGTTCTATTTTAAAAACCTGGCTCCTTCCCACCAACGCATGACACGCTAATTGATGTGGCCTATTAATACATAGCCAATGTTTGCATAGAAGGTAGTGGACATTAGCGACTCAATTAAGATATGATTAGGAGATTATGAAGCTTCTCCTCTTCCCTGCAAGCGCATGTTTATAAGGTGACAACAGCAGAGGCTAAAGAGAGTGGCTCTTTTATGGAAGTGTGGTCAATGTGAACGAAGACGCCTCAGAAGAAGAGTGTATTCATGATCTAGGCCCTTAGGAAAGGTACCTAGAGGGATGCTTTGAATCCTGCGATGCAAAAACACTCTTAGTATATCTAAAAACACTGAACCTGGCCTCATGTTCCAAAAGAGAGCGCCAAGCAAAAAAGGTACAGCGCTCATGGTCACGACTTGGCCACAGGTAAAGAAAGAAGAAAGAAGCTAGCCACTTATCAATAATTTACTAAAGCCTTACAGCAAGAAGCATTTTTAATAAACATTATCTTGACACCGTGAGGCACATATAATGCGAAATGAGTCACAGGTAATCAATTTTCGTGACCTTTTACTTTCCTGTATGACTCCTTGCCATTGTAAGTACAGTGTTTAGTATGAGTGGCACACAGAAGAACTGGAATTTGTAATGAAAACCAAAAACCACTGGTAGGAATACAGGATTACAGAAATCTCTTTAAAAATGAGACAAGAAAGTATTTCAGCCATGTGGAACAGAGGGAATGTGTTTAGCAAGCATATTAGAAGTTCAACTGGGTAATTTACACTATAAGGTGACTATTTTAGAAAACAGTCTAGTGATTTTCAGTAGAATAAGATGCATGAAAAAGACAATTTTTTGTCTGTTGGCTTTTTCACTGCATATGTTTCAAAGTTAGGGGTATTGGCGCTAGTGAAAAAAGCCTTCTCTTTGCAATGTATATTATTTTGTAGTGCTGCAAATAAAAGCAACTGTGTGATGCACAAGCAAAACCAGGGTAAGAGTACAGGGTGGCTCTGGCTTCCACAATCTGAAATTAAAATCTGATAATAATATGTTACCACAAGCAACTTCGCAAACAGATCAGCATATTCCAAGCCCTGTTATTTCAGCAAAAATAATTCTCTCAAACTCAGTGAATTATATTCGCTAATATTCACTACTGCTTTGTGTTGCTCATTAAAGTGATGGGGTCACCAACAAAAAATGTCAGATTTAAAGTAACGTTAGAGCAAGAAACTTCTAACGACGAGACTGTGAACAACAGGGGCATCAATATGGCCACAATTTGACCCTTGGAGAAGGCATCTGTAGCCTACCTGTTCTCTGACCCATAAACACAGAGTCCATAGCATGGGGGAGAGCAGCACATTAGCTCAGTACAAGATCCTCACCATCTGTCCATGTCACCTCCTGCGCTGTCTTTTGAGCCAGGCTGCGCTGGCCCAAAACACGACCTGGTCCACGTTCTGTAGTAAAACGCCGCAGAACACTGCAGATGCCATTTATAGAGCACAGGTGATCTCAAGCTGTCCCATGCGAGAAAAGCAAGTTAAATGCAGCCCTGCCTGAGTATTGCTCAATGTAACGCCCAGCCTGAACGCACCCCAGTGTTGTGTACCGCCAACATGTAGCTCAAGCACCGGGGTGGAATGTCCATGATGATGTTAATGCATAGTTATTGTGATGCATGCACCCCCCCTGCCTTTTCCCCTACAAAAATCCACACCTACATCAGCTGCCAAAATCATGGGCACATAATGAAATAGATGGGTTTTATCCAGGGCATTGATCAAATGACCAAAACAAACTTTTGGGGTTTTCAGGTCCCTTTCACACTGACCACCTCCAAACAACTATTTGAACAGGCCCATCCACCCCCCTGATAACAAGGGATAAGCTAGGTGACCCATTCTTAAGGAGTCTGTCAATTACGCATGTATTATGAATGCAACAGAGTCAAACATGATTGCATAATGAAGCAGTTTCATAATGTCTGTACAAGGCAAACTTCACTGTGAGACGGTTCAAAACTTTCCCATTCAGACACCAAATTAAGTAAATGTGAAACCTCCAACGTTAAAATAATTAAACAAGAACAGCTATTCAGTTATAACTAGTGATCTTAGTGATCCGACCACCACTGACCAAATACTAAAAGAATCTCTGACAAAACACTGCACGTACAACTGCCATAAGAGCAACCATGGCCCACAGCTTTTACGACTGATATCACAGACCATCTCAGTCAGATCATTCTGAACAAAAGAAAGGAGGAACTGCGAAACACAAACCTAAGACCTAAAGGTAAGCTTCATGTATAAACCCATCATGTAGCTACATTTCTTGTAACGTTATCACCTTTGTACCACAACAAGCTATGGTAAAAGGAGGAAATTTGAGCTACTGTGGACTCGAAAATTCTATAATTTAGACACCGCTGCCACACGATTTTTTTGCGAACGGTAAATTAAAAGTTTCTGTCGTACCAGTTTTGCATATAACGCGACTGGTAAAAGTGGTAAAACGAGAAAGACACAAAAACAACTGCCATTAAAATCACCTAACGTTAGCTCAACGAGCTAATGCAAGTTAGCAAAGCTAGTTAGCTTGCCGGCTAACTTCACCGTTCATATCTACCAGTAAGGCTAGCGGCGCCGTTAGCATAAAGCTAACTAGCAAGCAGCGAGCATGAGAAGCCGAATTTTAAAGTAACAGTTCAATAAAAAAGGGGTCGAGTCACACAGCCAAAGAGAAACGTCGACGTTAAAATGATTTAAAACGGGTCTGGAAGGTTATGTAGTTAACCGTATAGCCTCTTACCTTAAGACTCCAACTGCCCGAGGTTGCTCTGCTCGCCGATCCGTGTTCCGCGGTAGGAAAGTCGGATAGCTCTGCGAAAAGCCCCGCCGTTACAAGCTGTTCAGCGACGCCAAAATTCTCTCGCGGATTCTCCGTTTTCAGTTCGACTCCGTGTAATTTTTAGTCAAAGGCTGATACGGCGATAGGTTGTCGTGTCCTGGTTGTAACTTAAAATCCATCTAAAGCAGTAAAATCAGAAAATGAGACTATATTTTAAGAGTTGCAGCTACAGCCGAAGCTGTGTGGTATGTTAAGGGCTCAGCAGCGAGCAGCATAACAAGAGGAACTGGAGACTGAGCTCCGGATCGATGTGGAGTCTGTAACGTTACCCCCGGCCGTATTTTCCTCGGCTCGACTGCATTCCTCCCCTCTGTTGCACAATGAGCCGCTATAATTTATTCATGAGATCATGGGGATGGAGGTGCTCTCTGTCGGAATAAAGAGAGGCAGTTTTTCTTTTTTCTTCTTTTCTTTTTTTTTTTGTCACTCACCCCCTCATCGCCCTCCCCAGCTGACTTCCCCCCTCGACGTGTTTCAGACCAGATTAGCTGATCGTCCATCGAGTAGGTTTGCTAGGGAGAATGAGGATGACGAACGAGGATGATGATGGTCATTATGATGAGCAGGATGAGAATGATAATATTTAGGAGGATGAGGTTTATGATGATGATGATAATGAAGGAGATGAGGAAGATTAGGATAATTATAATGATGATGATGATGAGGAGGAGGAGGAGGAGGATGAAGAGGAAGAGAAGAATGATGATAATGATGAGGATGATGATACTGATGATGAGGATGATGATAATGATGAAGATGATGGAAATGATAACGAAGATAAAAACATGGATGACGATGATGATGGTGATGAAGCCAGGCGGTGGCTAACCTGGGAAATCAGTGCCATTGGGGTCTGTGTCTCATTGTCCTTTAGTTGCAGATCAGAGCAATTTAAAGCCAAAACACACTTTAATTTAAGGTGGCAGACAATTTCACCACATCATGCTGTGACAATTCATATTTTATAAATTATTGTAGCCATAGTTTGACCATTCAAGTTCTAAAAAATAATGATTATTCTGAAACATTGTTCTTTGAAGATGTTCTTACAGAAATAACTTTGGGTCAAATGGAAAATTAATCAAATTTGGTTTAATTAGGTAGAGATTAATCATTTCCTAGTTGTGTAATCCATTTATCATAGTGAAAAGACACTAACCAAGTACACGATTTTGTGATGCTGTGGGCCATACTGCATTAATAATACTAATCACACCAGAATGTATGGACCTTTCTACCAAATTAGTTTAAACTGCGGTCCTACAGTAAAAAACAGTATTTAAAAAGCAATTAAGTATTCAGGCTTTAGATATGACAAGGATTATGTAATGATCTGTTAAGAGCCATGGCATTACCTAAAATAGGAAAAGCTAAATATAAAGAATATCATCATTTATAGGGTACCTTCTTTTGGGAGGTGGAAGGCTCAAACCCCTAATTTCAACTTGTGAAAATAATACTTAATTTTTTTTGTTGTTGTTTTTTTTTCGGGGTTTGTGGTTTATTTTAAGTTTATTTTTAGCTGAAAGACAGATTTATCATGAGAAATATTTTATTCAAAAATAACCATATTTTCATGTCACTACCAAAACACGGAATTTTAGTCCATAGGCGGAGCTTTATTTTAGCCACACCCCTGCATTTTAGAGCAGGAAGTGAGGGTGCATCCCTCTCCCTCATGGCCACATGGTGAGCAGTTAGATCCCATTGTTTTGAAGTAAATGTGTCCCAAAGTCTGAACATCAGTGTGTAACTTTAAAGTCTCACAACTGAAACACGTATTTTCTGAAGTTAAGTAAACATTTTTGTGTTTTAATGAAAAATATTATGATTTTATGTGTGCACAATTGTTCAAAGCTGTGTTTGCTAGTCATGTACAGGCAAGCGTTTTTGAGTTATGCTACAGAAGAAGGAGACAGGTTATGCATTGGAAAATGAATGGGAAAGCTTGTAACACTCAACATGGCGTCTGTCTATCCATCCGCCCCTCACTGAAAAGAGCCAATCAGCTTGCTGGTTAAGCCCCCTTTGATGTAGATAATTTGCTAAGTGCAGTAGCCAGAACAAACTAAACAACATGTTTTGTGCGTTATTTGAGCCAAACGCTATAAACTATGAGATTTTTGTCAGATTTTAAGATCTGATTTCACAGATTTCAAATCTGTTTTTGAAATGGTAATATGACCATCAGTTTTGAGTTTTTGGGTCTCTCCCCATTCAAAGTGATGGGAGTCTGGTCTTGTATGACTGGATATAGCTGCCCGGGGATGTGGCTAAGTTGCCAGTTTACTTTTTTTCCCCTTTATTTCTTTTTCTCGTTATTCTTTGAAAATTTGTTTAGTAAATAATTGTAACTGCAACATCATAAATAAAGCCAGTTATACAGCTATAACCAATCTAGCAAAGTGTCAGTAACATTTTAAAAAAATAACAATTTTATATGGGCACTAGTCATTATTTTATTTCTCTCAGTTGTTAGTAAGATTTGTCTTAGTTTATTTTCCAAAATAAAAGGCAACGTACATTTAAAATCTGTTTGCCGAGATTAAAAACTTGTTTTGCATGCAGTACAATAACCTGGGTGGTCTCATGGTGGATCAGCAGAGGCATAAGTCCAAGTCAGTTAAAAGTCTGAAATGTGTTCTGAGCTCTTTAAACCAATTTGGTAGAATGATCTGTATGTTACAGTAGGACTAAACGTTTTGGGGAAAATATCTAATTGGGATTTTTCTGACCAATATCATGACAATTAAAATTCCTATTCCTAATTCCTATTATTTTCAAAAAAAAAATTGAAGGCATATTCTGGTTATTTTGGCCAAGAAGACCAGCATATTTACCTTTTTCTTGCGAGAAACGCTGAACACTGAATATAGTGTAGTGCCAGATTGCCAGTTAGTTGTGATTGTGTTATCTTGTACACAGCATGCGGGTGTTTGGTCACTTCTGATTCGTCCGTCTATCTCATCTGGAGGCTGTTTACAAGCAATATTATTAGGTTAAATTTAAATTATTAATTATTTTATTGAAGTTGCAGCTCTTGCGATTTGAAATTTGCCTTTTTGCCTATTTTGATATGAAAGGAGTAATCTTTCAGCCCTATGTCACAGACAGGAAGGTAGCTTTGTTTAATGTGAAACTCCCTCTGTCCCCCTCTGGATTCAATAATAGAAAAGAAGGGGAAATTCATGTTCTGGACCACCATACCGTGCACAAAAGAAAGACCTAAGACAGTCAGACCCAACCTATACCAAAGCTTAAAAGCTCTAGGTCAATGTCACTGATGCTGATTACTTCCCTACTTGTGGTTCAACTACATAAACCAAAAATCATACCTATGTGGCTTCCCTTCAGTGCTCCCTCTAAAGCCTCGTCCCCAAAACACATGCACACACACTACCTATGCTAGAATGCTGGAATCCTGGTGCTAACTTAGTTGTAATCAAGTATCACAAATGATGACAGAAGTGGGCATTGACGCAGACAAGTACCTAGTAGCTAGTAACATAAGTGGGAGGTCGCTAACTGACCATCATTACCCTTGTTGGACATTGGAGCCCACTTTATTAGCCTCAGATGTGGTATGCGAAGTAATTACCTATCTAGCAGATATATACGACAGCGGGGGTGCCTAAAGCTTTTGCTTTTGGGGAGCCAAAGTATTTGTGGTGGTCCAAGACAAACCTGTATACAAATAAAGAAACCGTAGGAGGTCGAGCTCTATAGAGTACCTCATTTAGTACAAAAGCTAGCTAGCAACTCAGCTGCCGAAATGTTAGCGTTGTGTTTTTACATGTCACTAGTATATATTGAGAAACGTTTACTTTTATTTTGTAAGATTACACTATATGTATTCATGGATAAGTACTTCAGATATAAAATCTTAGAAGAATTGAGGCTACCTAGGGCTAGAACAAGGTCAGTGTGGCTCTTCTTGCACCTCCAACCCTCTTAGCTCTTAGTAATGTTAGAAAGCCACACTTTTCAATTGTTTTCCTTGGTTTCTTGACAGTGTGAGCTATCATAGGTAGTCATAGGTAGTTTGGTGTCATTTTCTCTGTCTTTATTCCTTATGAACTAATAAGCTCTCACAGAGGATCATGTCACAACTTAGGCTTAATTGTCTAGCCGATGCTAAAGGCTACGCACTGGATGGACACGCTGAACAGCACCGTGTAGCACAGGATTGCCTAAAGTGTGACCTGAAGGCCAAAGCTGGACCGTGAGGACATTTGATTTAAATAATGTTACCCTCAGCCCACCACAAACTTTGTCTCCCCTAGATAAAAGTTTGGGCACCCCTGGGGTAGCAGATTGTACACAGTGATCTGGTTCTGGATTTAATTTAATGTAACAGCAAAATGCTCAGTGGTGCACTGTGGCACAGGGATATTTAACAGTGCTGAGAGAAACTGACCAGTTCTAGAAGTTGATGCTGAATGTTGGCAGCATTGTATGCACTTTTATTAAATACAATGGTTTCACGTTTTTGGATGCTGTGGTGCATCTGGTGTACAGTGGCCTTAAGGCTAGGCTGCAGCTTCCACCTATGAGCCATGTACACCCTAATATTGTACATTAATTTATTTCATTACCAATAACGGGTGAGACAAAATCATGAGGCCTAAATTACAGAAAGTATATATGTACAGTGCTGCGAAAAAAGTATTTGCTCCTCACCTGATTTCTACTATTTTTGCTAATTTGTCACACTTAAATGTTTCAGATCATACAACTAATTTTAATATAAGATAAAGACAACACAAGTGAACATAAAATGCAGCTTTTAAATGATTATTCCATTTATTTGAAGATAAAGATTTACACAAAAACGTATATCACTCGTGAAAAAGTAATTACCCTCCTAAACCTAATAACTGGTTGTGCGATCCTTGGCAGTAACAACTGCAATCAGTTACTGCCAAGGATCTGATTATAATTTGCAGTGAGCCTTTTACATCACTGTGGAGGAATTTCGGCCCACTCGTCTTTGCCGAATTGTTTTAATTCTGCTACACTGGAGGGTTTTCAGGGTTGAACTGCTTTAAGGTCTTGGTGGACTGGCTTGTGTGCTTCGGATCGTTGTCCTGCTGTATAACCCAGCTGCGCTTGAGCTTTAGCTCACGAAACTGACGGGCAGACATCCTCCTTCTGGATTTTCTGATAGAGAGCAGAATTCATGGCTCCATCAAGTCATTCCAAAAAGTTTAACCTTTGACTCATCAGTCCACAGAGTATTATCCCAACAATCTTGGGGGTCATCTAGATGTTTTTGGAAAATGCAAAACGTCTTTGTGTTCTTTTTGGTCAGCAATGGTTTGCATCTTGCAACCCTCCCATGGATGCCATTTTTGCCCAGTATCTTTCTAATTGTGGAATTGTGTAGATTGAGGCAAGTGAGGCCTGCAGTTCTTTAGTTGTTCATCTGGGTTCTTTTGTGACCTCCTGAATAAGTCGTCAAGACTGGTAGATTTTGATGACTTTATATTACACCTGTGTTTAAATCTCTTTAGAACGTGGAATCACGTGCTCTTTGAGACCTTCTAGCCTGCTTCACATTGCCAAACAGGTTCTATTTAAGTGATGTTTAGATTCAACAGGTCTGACAGTAATGATGCCTGGGTGTGGCTAGTGAAACTGAACCCAATAGTCAATTGAATTTGGTTAACTGGTTGATTTAGTAGCTAAGGGGGCAATTACTTTTTCACATAGGGCCAGGTAGGGCTAAACAGCATTTTTTCTCTCAATGAATGAAATCATCATTTTAAAACAACATTTTGTGTTTACTTGGGTTATCTTTAAACATTGAAGTATGATAAATATGCAAAAAATAGAAGAAATTGGGAAGCGGCAAAGATTTTTTTCACACTTTCTCATGTTTTGTTTATTTTCTAAGTGATAATAAATGCACATCCTCTACAGAGAACACACCTCTGCACATTTCAGTGTACAACTACTGTTTATTTGCTGAATTGCACATATTGGAAAATACAAATAAAAAAAACATGAAATGTGGCCTGTGCAAAAGTCATGGCACATCTTATATTCATATTTCCAATATGTTAAACGCAGAAAAATTTGCAGAATAATAGCATGTTTAGGTGTGTTATTTCCACTTAGAAAACCAACAAAACAGTGACACCCCTTCATTTAATACTTTGTGCAGCCTCCCTTGGCAAAGATAACAGTTCGGAGTCTTCTCCTATAATGCTTAATGAGACTGGAGAACACATGACAAAGGATCTGAAACCGTTCCTACATACAGAACCTCTCTGAAACCTTCAGGTTCTGGGGTCCACACTGTGTTTAAGCGTCCTGGCTGAGGCATACCCCCCATAGAACTTGTGGATATATAGGTGGTGATTGATACGTCCTCTTCCACAGTTTCTTAACATCTTCAGCTGTTTTAAACTTGGTCATTATTGCACTGATAGTGGAAATGGACAGTTTCAACTGTTTAGCTATTTTCTTGTAGCCGTTTCCTGATTGTGCAGTTCAACAACCTTTTGTCACACATTATTTCTGTCTGTTTTCCAAGAGAAACACCAGAAAATGATGGATGACTGAGGGAATCTGGCCTGTGTTTCATATCATGCATATATATATATATATATATTCCCCCAGTGAATCAGGAAGTCATGACTGACCACTTAAGTGTTCCTAATTGCTCAGGTGAACTTAAAAACAAAATATGAATAAAAATATACTTCAGTTAGATTTCACTTCTTAAAATTTCTAGGGGTACCAATAATTGTGTAGTATATATAGATATTGATGTTTTTGACTGTGACAACATGTTAACATGTTGATGCGTTGGTTTCTTAAAAGCTCTGTAATGCTTGACGATGTACATGTGATACATGTGGTCATTCCAAAAGATGTAATGTAATATAATACACTACAGCCATGGACCCCGATTTCTATTATTAGGAAACCCTGTTTAAATTTTGTATACATTGTTTTTTAAATTATTTTCCATATTCTTTTAGTAAATAAACACTTGTCCAATGAAGTAGTCTAGTGTTTTTACAAGAAAAATCACACTTTTAATTTTTCGTGAAGGGTACAGTTGTACGCAGTGGGTTGGCCACCCCTGGACATTTTTTCTTGATTTTTTAAATGAACAAAAAAAAAAAAACAACCAGCAGCAAAATATTTTTTTAAATAACATTTTCCTACAAATGTTCATGCACTGTAACTTTAATTTTGATTAACCTACAAAAAACATACTTAATAACATTACATTTGGCAGATGACACAGCTTGCAGACACTTTCTGTAGTCGGCTAGGAGTCTTTCTATTCTTATTTTAAGAAACTGTCACCAGCCTTTCCTTGCGGAACGTTTCTGGTTCTGCAGTATTCTTGGGCCGTCTTGCATGCACAGCATGTTTTAGATCTACCCCCAGATTTTCAATCATGTTTAAGTCAGAGGACTGTGAAAGCCATTCCAAAAGCTTTAGCTTGCATTTTTTTGAAGTAGATCATGGTGGATTTTTGGTGACTGTGGCCAGTGAGCTCCATTTTTACTTCATCAGTCCACAGAACTTTTTTCCAAAATGCTTTTGGCTTATCTACATGTTGTTTTGCATACTTCAGGTGTTGACCTTTGTCATGAAGTCACAGGTAAGCTGCTAAGAGGAGTCCATGTTAGTTGAGTTATAGCACAAGATTTGAAGAGTCAGAGAATTTATAATGCACTGCAATTGTCATCATTTTGGGCACCCGGTGAAGGAGACTGTACAAAGGACAGCTATACCACATAGAAAGTGTTGCAGTGAGAATGCCGATAAACATCAAACTGAAATTCATTTCGCACTCTACTTGTTCTAATTTTGTAAAACACAATTTATCATGGTGATTATCAGCTGAGTACCTCTCCTCAAACTCGCTGTTTTCAAGCTAAAAGGTACAAGGTGAAATAAGTTATGATGTGACTAGGCTAGTAGCGTTAGATGATTAGCGTTTACTTTTGTGGCCTGGCCCTGGGTTTAATTTAATGTCAATCTTATCAAGTCAATTAAGGCCTAATAAGTACTGAGACTTTACCAGACTTTGTCCAAACTTTTGCACATTTTTTTTATTTATTTATTCATTTTAATAGTTTGCTGTAGTGGTTGTGGTTACTTTTTACTTCAACTTAAAAACTGACAAAATGATTTGATCAGGAGTGCCCACAGTTTTTCATACAACTGTAAACTTTTAATATGAGATAACAGCACGGTTTACCTCCCATAAGCACACATAACAAGACAGTAAACTTGCTGTTAGAAATTCTAATAGACCACTAATGCAGCAATGCAGTGTTCACCTACAGTTATTCTACTATTACTATTAAAATATATGTAATCTTAGAACTAGCCTGGACTATCTTATTTATTTATTTATTTATGCTTTGCATTAGTTTGAACGTTGCTGGTAGTGGTGCATTACTATACATTTCCACTTTCTCACACAGGCGGAGCAACACAGGAAACAGAAGCTACAACGGCCAGAATATGAGCTATTGAGCTATAAGGTAAGTAACCATTTTACACTAAAATTGTCATGCATACCTTAAAATATTCATTCATAATTCACACAATAACCTGAAGACCTCATGTTTTTTAACTGTTTTTATGCTTGTGGTCTTGTAAGACCATTTTGAATGTGGAACTGCATGTAGTTCTATGCCCCTTGGGAAACTATGAAAGGTCATTTTTGTACCATATCTAGAAGGACAGATTAAATAGAGTCTGGGTAATGAGGAACTGTCCTCTAGTTTTACCTGTGCTCCTTTTAGATGAACAGGAATGGTCTGGGACTAGTTGGGAACTGTATGAACAGATGTTGCTCTCTAACTATAGCCAGAAGCACTGATTGTTGTTACTGGTAATGTCACACTTACAAAGAAAAAGGTGGTGGAGGGGCTGGTATGCAGGGGTAAACTGAGCAAGTCAACCTGCTAATAAAATTGACCTCTTTAATTACTTTACACCTTCAGTGTACACTGTGTTGTGCAAAAGTCTCAGGCATCTAAAACATTATGAATCTATTTATCAGCTATTCCTTTACCTGGGCATTAAACATTCATTTGTTAAAAAAAAACACTACAATTAGAATAAATACAAATAAACAATATATATATTTGATGTGTGTGAATGTGTTAGCTTAACTATCTCCTCAAGGTAGTCCAGTATATGCAGTTATCTTGTGTTGTTTTAGCTGTATACTTTTAATCATGTGTAATAAAAAATACATTTTTTAAACATAAATTCTTCTTATGTTTTATTGTTTTTATGTTTAAGGAGAAGGAACAACTTTTTTACTTTATAATAGAAGTTAATGTAAATTGATTTTTGTTCTATTTCCATTTTTTTTTTCCATTTGATTTTTACCATTTTTACAGGTCCACTCATTACGATTTCACACATAGGATGCAATAAATAAAAAATGGAGATGGAGTAAAAGGTAAAGGTCAGATGTTATTTTTTATTCCTTCCATTCAAACACATATTCAGACGACTCTCAGGTGCTTTTGATGTACTCATCAGAGGCTTTTGTACAAACTTGTGGAGTCAGAGTCAGCTTGAGCAAACGCTGCCAAAGCAAAAGGGGGTGACAAACCAAATGAAATTCTAAAATTCTTTTTTAAATTTAAAAAATTCTACTTTTCACTCAAATTATTATGCTGATAATTTAATATGTAACGGAAAATGTATTAAATTAGAAAAGAATGCAAAATAGAAGCATTTTCAGTCATGGACTGAATTATAGTTTATTATAGTTAACTAAAACCATTACTGAAATGAAATCTAGCAATGAACTACTACTACTTTGATTTAAATCAAAAACCAAAATGAAAAACTAAATAAAAACTATAATAATCCTTCTGTGTGTGTGTTTGTGTGTGTGTGTCTATATATATATATATATATATATATATATATATATAAAATACGTATGGATGTACACAATTTGTCATGTTGTCATATTCACTTTGATATTCAAAAACCCTATTACTTTAGCCACTGGATAACACAAGGTACACCTCTTGATGTCAATTATGTCTTCAGGTTCCTTTGTTTGTCAATCCCCTGCTCTTTTGCTGTAGTGTAATTGATATTCTTTCCTTGTTCTGTCTTGTTAAGATCTCACAGGGCAGTGCCATATCTGCAGAAAAAGAGGAAAAGAACTGCCCTTAAGACATTGAGTCAATAAAACAGACACTTTACCATGCCAAGAGGGAATGGGCTGCACTACTCCAGCTCAGAGAGGGGGGAGCGAGAGATGTCGGCTCCACCGTGAACTCAGACCTACAAAACAAATTGCATCACTGTGTTATTAGATTCCACTAATTTTACGGTAACCATGGGAGCGCAGTACCTAGAACTGCAGTTACATAAGAAAGGACATAGAAAGTTGTAGCCTCCGTTTTGCTCTCCCCCTGTTGAGAGTGGTTCGTGCCATGCCGATGGCAAGAACATATCATGGGAATTATCCAGCAGAGAGAGACAGCAGGAGGGAGGGCGAGAGAGAGAGAGAGAGAGAGAGAGAGAAAGAGAGAGAGGGAGAGAGAGAGAGAGAGAGAGAGAGAGAGAGAGAAAGAGAGAGAGGGAGAGTGTGCACTGTGGCTAGACTGAAGCTGCTGAGAAAAGAACAATAGATCTGCAGTCTTGATGAGCGTGACTGAATGCTACTCTAGAGGTTTGGAGCCAGACAAGTGCTGTAGGGAGCGAGTGCAGTAAGGGTTTTTTGTTGTTTTTTTTTCTGTCAGAGGTGCAGGGAACAAAGGGAGTCAGCTGACCAGGTAATGAGGAGACAAATTAGAAGCCATTCAAATCATCAATATTGATTTTTCTTTAATCCATAGAATTAGCTAATTAGATTAGCCCTCACCTTGCTGAAAGGTGAATTGAGCAAATTGAGCCTGACGCACACGGGTCACCTGGGGTCGAGGGGAAACGTTTAAATCATGGCACATTAAAACAAATCCAAACGAGTCATATGAAAACAGCCACATTATCCTTTGTGTGTGTTGGAGATCAGTCAGTTGAAGTGCCTGCATCACTGCATGAGGCCAGCGCAGCGAGAGGGGGGGAAAGGGAAAAAAAAAAGGAGTCCGACTTATGCTCAGCAGCTCCCTGTTGCCCTGGAAACAGGTGCTGAGATTCTTTGCCTTTTTCCCCATCTTTCTCCTCGCTATCGATGTCAGTGCCACCTCCCACAGCCTCCCCTCCCCCACGACCTGCCGCATCCACCAACCCCCCCTTCCCCATTCCCATCTACTGCAGTCATTTAACAATGTCACAGGCCAGAACAACCAATCCCCCCCTTTACACACACCACCACACATACACACACTAACCCCTCCTCCTTTTTCATCCCTCCCCACTCCACGAACTGCCGAGCACATAGAGCCACTGTATCAGGGTCAAACAGCACCCTGCTATTGATCCCTGTGAAGACTGGGGATCTAGTGCTACGAGGCTACAGCACTAGTCCTTTGACCCCGCCCCCAGCCCAGCTAATCTCTTCGCAAGAGCCACTCAGGCAGGCGGCGCGCTCCCGTTAGCCAAAAGGATATGGACAAAGAGAAATCTCGCTGGCGAGAAAGCCAAGAAAAGCACACCCTCCCAATTAGGGAGGGGCATTGATTTCCTGTTCGATCCGATACCAAGGCTAATATCCTGATACCGATACGATACTTTTAGCCCTTTTGTGCAGATAAAGCTAGTAAAAAAGATACAAAGTGAGCAACAAATTGGACGTTCACCCTAATAATGTACCACATCCTGAATGTTTTTTGGTCAGTAAATACATTTGCATTCATAATTAAAACTAAAGTTTTTCACATGAGGATCGATTGTCAAAAAGCATCGATACTTCTGTAACGATCCCTCCCACCGTGGTCCACGCAGAGCAGTTCACATTTCACCCAAATGCCCAAGCTGTGCCCCACTGATGGATTTTTGTTAATACAGCAAGACAGATTTAGCCCCACCACTGTTTAGACGGCATTTCCTTTAGCTAAATCACGGCTACGCAAGGCCCCAAAAAGCGGCGCGCACCAGGGATCGAATGTTTGATTTCGTTTTCTGGCCTTTTTAAGTCAACACTGTTTTTCAAGCGCCCCACATTCCATTGTAGTGACTTTCTCCCTGGCCTGGAGAGGAACATTCCCGGGAAGTGGCTGACCGACAATAACAGCAATGAGGAAAAAAAGAAAAAGAAAAAAAAGGCAGCAGGGTGGGGGTGGGATCGGGTTGGCTGGATCAGGAAGAAAAAGCCTGTTCTCTCCCACCTTTGCTCAGCCAGACCAATGACATGCCAACACTGCAGCACTGAAAAAAACGCAGGCGCTTCTCAGCACCCGCATTAAAATGCACAGGACAGTTCTGACAACAGACCCGACAATCTAATTTCATATGGCTCTAGGTAGATGAGGAACACACTTCACATTACACAACCCTGGCTTTGTCAGCATTTTCAGCATACACTTCAAACAGCTGCGTTCGCATTACATCTATGAGAAGTCACCTCAAAAAGGGGAGGGGGGGTCTTGTTGTGAGAGCCTGCGGATGATACGCAGCGGCGTAACTCGGACGGACGTTAACAGCCACATCAGGCCGAGCAAAGGCCGATTGAAGTGGACGTTCTGTCCCGCTCAATCACACTGTGGCATTCCTAATTAGGATGAAAACAGAAAAGGCTCAAGAGAAAGTATGTCAACCCCCGAATACTCTGCCCCCTCTCCTGCTGAAACAGAGAGTGTTGTGACTCCTGTTGGATGTGCGCTGAAATTAATCCGTGTTGTAGTAAACAGTGTTGGCCTGTAACTCTGACTCCCTGTTAATGGTCTGTGTTAATGGGCAGCACAGATTTTTAAGTAACTTACTACTGCATCGCTCTAAGGTAATTTTTCAAAGGTTCTGTTTGATTTAACTGTTAAGATGTAAACAAAGTCATTCCGAGAGTTTTGATGTGAAATGCTCCATTCCAGGGAAACTTAACTGAGTCGGAATTGAGTAATCGCCCACAGCAGCGGTGATGGGAACTAATTTGCAGCCTCTAAAACCCACCTTACAGAAAGTTAGTACATAAAATAGTTACAAATGTGTTGCCTGATGCCTAAGACTTTGTTTTACAATCCATTTTGGCAGAGAAGTACATGTGGGGGTTTCTATGGCAAAGTACCCTGCTGAAAAAACTGGCACATTCCATGCTGGCCTATGCTGGTTTACGCCGGTCTAGTGCTGGTTTAACTTGTCACCCAGCACGGTCATGCTGGTTGACCAGCATACCAGTATACAAAACACAATATATCGCTGTTGTTGAAAGAAAACCTCGTATCTCCATTTTTGATGTTTTTCAGTTTTTGACATAATTTGAAATTGCCTGTTGCTCTTTACATTGTATGTTAATTTAATGATGAATGGACTAAAAGAAATGACCCAAAATGACTTAGAAAAAAGTCTGGTTCCATTGAATTACATTAAAAGTAAAGTAGTTTTTTTCCCTCTCCTGTAAAGTTATCATTTTTGGGATACAAGGTTTTCTTCTGACAACAGCGATATGCTGGTTTTGCTGTTGACCAGTCATGCTGGTCTATGCTGATTCTAGCAGGGTAGTACCCAAAGAAAAAATATATTTTTACGATTAACCACTGGTTTTACTATTATTAACATGACATAACAAAACTCAGAAGAAATGTGTAGGTTCACTAAGTTCACTTAGAGTCACTAAGTTTCTTTACAATTAACCATTTGACATCAACACACCCTGAATGACTTTACATCTTTACATCATTTACATGTCAACAACTGAATTTTGCAGAAATTTAGATCAAAATCAGTGAAATTCCTTTTCAAATGTCTGTACAGATATTTAAGCTAATAGATGTCAAGCTAAAAGGTAAATGATGATTTTATGCCAAAAATGTTTCAATGAATATGTCAAAAAGCTCATTCAGATTTCACATAATAACCAACTCAGTCACTGGCTCAGTGTTCAGTAATAACATTAACTCCATTTAGTCCACAGACCTGATAGGGTAGATTGAGGCAATATGTAGTTATGATTAAATCATTGGTTGGAGTGGCAGGGATAAATCTTAAGATTAGAGTCCAATCATGTGAGAGGTCAGAAAGTAGAGAATCACTGCAGAAAAACAGAGAAAACACCCTCTGGGAAGAACCATCTGACTCAAACAGGGAGAGCTTTTCACATTTAAAGTGGCCTGTTGTTCTAGTGGCCAGAGGTGATTCTCTATCAATGGCATCCTGCAGAGGGGGTCAGAGGACTTTGGTCGTTCCAAACAGTGAGTCAGCGAGGACAGGATTTACGTCTGTTAGCAACACATTATGTGGACTGTGTTTGCACTGCTTGGACTGTGGCTAAACAGAGAAGGTTTTAAAATAAAATAGAAAATCCTTAAAAAGAAAGTATAAAGTCCTCTGGATGTCAACACAAAACTTTAAGGGTTGGCCAGTGAGTAGAAGTACAAGGTAGGTGTTTCTAATAAAGTGGCCAGTGAGCAGAAGTACAAGATGGGTGTTTCTAATAAAGTGGCCAGTGAGTAGAAGTACAAAATGGGTGTTTCTAATAAAGTGGCCAGTGAGCAGAAGTACAAGATGGGTGTTTCTAATAAAGTTGCCAGTGAGCAGAAGTACAAGATGGGTGTTTCTAATAAAGTGGCCAGTGAGTAGAAGTACAAAATGGGTGTTTCTAATAAAGTGGCCAGTGAGTAGAAGTACAAGGTAGGTGTTTCTAATAAAGTGGCCAGTGAGTAGAAGTACAAGATGGGTGTTTCTAATAAAGTGGCCAGTGAGTAGAAGTACAAGGAAAGTGTTTCTAATAAAGTGGCCAGTGAGTAGATGTACAAGGTAGGTGTTTCTAATAAAGTGGCCAGTGAGTAGAAGTACAAGGAAAGTGTTTCTAATAAAGTGGCCAGTGAGTAGAAGTACAAGGTGGGTGTTTCTAATAAAGTGGCCAGTGAGTAGAAGTACAAGGTGGGTGTTTCTAATAAAGTGTCCAGTGAGTAGAAGTACAAGGTGGGTGTTTTTTAAGTGTCCGGTGACCTGAACAATGGCCCTTTGGTGAACGAATGATTTGAGTGCTGGCGCCATCTGTTGGTGGAAAGAATCAGATGCAACATGACTAGTCTACTTTAGGGTGACTCGCACAAGTTAGCCTGAAGCCCAACAAAAAAAGGGCTCGTTTCAAAATGAGCTAAGAAGAAGGAGCTGCAGAGAAGAAGAACGAGAAGAATGTGTACACGGGACTAAAGAGAGCATTTTCTAGGCTTTTCCAGTTCCTGCCCGGCGAGGTGTTTGTTCTGAGGAACAGCCCACCATGTTTCTGAGTAAAAACAACTCCTCACCTCACTCTTACTTTCACATTCGGTAAAACGTCTGTGCTCCTCACTTCGTCTCCCGTCACTGTACCGAGCAGACCGAGCCGCCGTCTCCACACTCAGCCGAAACCGTGAGTTGCTGAAGCGTCTCCGTGTTTTCTGTTCTCTTATTCTCGGTTAGACTCGTCTGTGTGTCCTAAGTGAAGCTAAAGTTCAGCTAAAGTAAAAATCAGTGCGTCGCAGCATTTTTGCGAAATCGAAAGCGGAAATTTCGACGGGGTCGTTGACGGTGTGAACGTGCGTGAAATAAACATTTCTAAGCTCCGTTTTCTCGCTCTTTCACTCGGTTCTGCGTCTCGTTTTGCTCGTCGTCACGAAGAGCTGTTGTCTGTGGTGACAGAACTGTCAGTCAAAAGCTGTCACTAGTAAAGCTAATTGTTCAGAAGTTAGTTTTTCTCTCGGACTTTGGCATTAATAACTTACTTATCTGTCTATATTACCTGCCCAATTACACTTAGGCTGTGTCCAAAACCACGTACTATACTACACCAATAAATACACCTTTATTAGTGGCGTTCTGCTGTTTACATACAGTTTACATTCATTTTGGTAGTACCTGGTTTTGGTCCTTCTTTTGACATTTTGTCTTAAATAGTATGTCAAAGTAGAATATTGTAGTATTGTAGTGTTATGAGTAGTGTGGTGTGCGGATTTGGACGCAGCCTTATATGCGGAGTGACATAAAGGGCAAGCAAAGAACTTTCACTTTTGTTTTTGTTCTGAGATACAGAATGTTAATATGTCAAAGTAGAAAGTTATCAGGCCAAACTGGCTTACATGTGGAAATAAATGGATTACTGAGCAGCCAAAGGCCAGCAAAAAGTGTTTTATTGAAGTTTTTATTTCTGTTGTCTTTATCACCTGTTTTGTTTAACGTTCCCCTGTGAAATTTGCATGGTTTCATGTTTCAGTTAGGCAGAGAGATTTTTTGAGGGGTTTTCAGAGATTTTTTGAGGGATTTAGTTTAATTGTATTAGTTTTAACAAACCCCTGTTAAAACTAATACAATTAAACTAAATCCCTCAAAAAAGGGAATATTGAGCCTGTGGGTAAAATGAGCCACACTTTGTATTTAGGCAAGAATACACAAAAATGACAGTGCAACAACCTTGTCACAAATTCAGGAAGAATAGTTCATTTCACCTCAGTTCTGATTGAGATGAGCATGTGATGTTAGTGGTGAGCTAACCAGAGCCAAAACTGTGATTTTTTTTTCTCATGTCAAGTGAAATTAAATAGGTTAAGATGTTATATGTTAAAAGAAATCAATAGGCTTGGGATACATTTACATACTAATTTGCAGCAGTATAAGCTTCAAAATGGTGTCATAAACCTAGAATAACTATGTTAGTTCATGTGTGGAGCAGTTTTCTCAAAATGGACGCTGTGGGGTAAATTGTGCCACAGGTCTGGCCAATAGCTCAACTTACCCCAATGAAAATAAAATGTATATTCTCTTAAATACAACTAAGTAAAATAATGCATGTTGTATGATAGTGATATTGCAGAAGTTTCATTATGCTAAGAAACTACAAATGTATAACAAATAGAGGCTCAGCTCCATTGGAAGATCTGAGAGCATCTGTGAAGTGTCAGAAGGGAATTCTGTTCAGTCTGCTGCAAATCGGCAAAAGATGACAGAATGACACTGAAGAGATACATTGAGAAACAAGATCATGTTCCCAGTACAGGTTATTACAGACTAACAAAGACTCTTCAGATTTTTATGGTAAGATGAAGTGTGAACTTGCCAACCACATCAAGAGACTTCTTTGCTGAAAAAAATCATAGAAATCATTAAAAGGTTTTCATGGCTCCTGGTGGTGTCCAGTAGTGAGTGATCATATTCTGTGTTTTCCTGAAGGGTTGATATCACAGTGTAAAAGATTCTAATGGTTTAACAGGTGTTTGGTGACAGGTGTTTAATTGTAATGGTTCTAATAGTCTTTTTTCAGCAGGGTTGCTAACCAGTTTCATGAACTTTCTCTTTTGAAGTACAAGGAGCTTGCATTTGAGTTGGCTAAGAGAAATGCCATTTCCGTTCCTGAAACTTGGGCGGAGCAAGAATGAGCAGGTTCGCGAGTTAGTTTGTTTTCTTTTGAATTATGTCTATAAATTACATAACAATCATCCTTCCCTGATTCCCTGATACTACTTTGATTCATGTGAACTGGAATGGAGAAGTACTTCTTTATTGTTCTATATGTTGGTAGGTTATTTAACCCTCACCGGGCTCAACTTTCCGCCTACCTGTGCTCAATTTACCCCTGGCTGGGGGCATGTTGTGCCAAAGGATCAACTTTTTTTTATGGGTCATACTTCTAAAAATTTAATGGCTAAACATACTTTTTTAGTTTCTATGGGTGCACAACAACTCTAAGTATACATAGCAAATGTTGTCTGGAATAATATAATACAGAATAATGTAATAATACACATTTGCTTTTTTAAAAAGTGGCTCATTAGGATTTTGTTCAGGTTTTTCTAGGGAGGCACTGATGTGGGAGTTGTGGGCCAATGTCGATATTTTTCCTTTACATATCTGTCAGTGCTGATACATAAACATTGTATGCATAAGTTTTAGCCCCCCCATCAAATTACAATTTGTTATCATTTTTCTAAGTGAAAATAAGTTTGTACATCATCTACAGGGAACACACTTAAATATGGCATTTGCCTGCAAATTTTAGTGGACAGTTTATTTGCTGGGTTTAACAAATTGGAAAAGAAGAAAACATAAAATACAAAAGGTGCCATAACTTTTGCACAGGCCACTGTTCATGTTTTAATTTATTTCCCAATATGTTAATTTCAGCAGTCAAACAGTACATTGAAATGGTAGAATTGATTTCCTGTATGTGTTGACTCATCAGAAATCGAGAAAAAAACAGAACAATCAACAAACACTGAGTGCATTTACATGCACCCAATAATCTGATCATAATCAGATTTCTCCAGTTATCCGATTATTCATGTAAACACCATACTCCGATCTAGACATCCGATTAAGAAATCCGATAAAGAGAGCTGGATTTTAGCTCCGTAATCAGATTTCTCAGTGCATGTAAACTCTTACTCTGATTTCTTTTGGATTTCTCAGTCTGTGCGTGTGCGAGAGCAGAAATAAGTACGCAGCGTTGCCGTGAGATGGCAGCAAAAACGTTTGGACCGACACTGAACCCAAACACGAAATAAAAGATTTGAATATTCTTCATCTTCTAGATGATGTATGTTCATATTTTCAGGTAAAGTGGCGTGATGTTTAAAAAAAAGCTACAGCATGAGTTTACATTGCATTTATGTCTCGTCTTCTTCTGTGAGTTTATTGGCTGGTTGCAAAGCAGAAAAACAGTAACTGCCTGACTCATGCAGACTCAGAGTTTTCCCATTATATGACTACTCAAGAGTATGTAAACGTGTTGATTGGATTACTGACAAAATCTGAATTTTCTGCAGTTATCGGATTATTGAGTGCATGTAAATGCACTCATTGTTATTCGACCGTGGTGCCCAAAATTATGCATATGATAAAATGTAGATATTGCCCAGCATTATCTAAACATTCAGCTTTTCCAGTGTCCAGGTCCAACAAGTACATCATCAAATACTGATTTGCCATTATCAGTCAAATCATAAACATCTGTATGATGCTGTTAATTTCTCTAACAATCACCTGCCGCTGCCTGTATGAATCCGAGATCATTGTGCATGCCTTTTTTTCATTTTATGTAAGTATTTATTTCAGTTTGTGAGGGTGCTTTTGTGAAATGATTTTAATTTACGTCAATACGAGGTTTCCTTGGTTGGTAAACACTACTGTTAGCCTTTGTTTCAGAGAATCCTCTGTCATCCTCTTCCCTGATAGATGGCTCATAGAAATAACAGCTCTCAAATGGGCCAATGCCTCAACCACATGGATTTTGCTGGCGAGGGTGGAGAGGGCTCCAGCAAAAGGCCACCACAGGAGCAGTCCACAAAACGCAGGCACAGTCAGTCCTCTAGTGCGGAAAACACAAGCTCGGAGTCCCACTGCGGCTTTGGGGAAAACCAGGAAGACACATATCCCATCGGACGACTAAAGAAAGAGCCTGATTGCCACATGCAGCTGGAGATCTTGTCCTCCAGATCAAATCACACTGTGCTCATAGATGTAAGTGCCCCCATATTTGGGCGTTTCTTATCAAATGCTGTCATCACTGTCACATTGAAACCTTGTAACTCTTTTATTATTGTTTTTTTTTAATTATTGAAAATGCCAGCTCTCCCTTAATAATTAAAAATGAACAACTTTTTGGTTCTTCTCCTGTAAAGTTATCTTTTTAGAGCATAAGCAACACTACTCTGAATCACTTTTGAGATATAACGATTGCAGTTAACAAGAAAATTATTTTGTCATTTTTATTCTTTGAAAGTAATTTTAAGTTTTGATGTTATTTAAGAGGTATTGAGTAATTCAGTAGCTACATAATTACTGAATAAAGTGCCACATATTAGTAAACTGCTGAGTAATTCACTTATATGTGGGGCTCCTGAGCGTTGTGGCTATTGGCCCTATTGTCAGTGCCATAGCCATCCATGGCCAGGAGTCCAAGACAGCATATGGTCGGTAGGATGGCCCTCCCTTTCCAGTCATCACTCAGCACAGTGCTAGACAGTAAGGGTGTCTGTTAACTGAAAAAAAATTGGCAGTTAGTGTTCTCCTCCAAGTGTGTTGAGCTGTACAATGACATTGCATTAGCGGCAATTTAAAAAGATGCAGTGGTGCTTCATATGTCTCAGAGGGTGCACGTGCTAGCCTTCACCCTCTCAGCTTCATAGCACTGTGTGATTGGAGCAGAGCTAGCTAGCAGGGGAAATTGGCAAAGACAAAATTGGGCACATAGTCAGGTTAAAAAAAAAATGTAGTATATAAGAGGAACTGAACTGTGGCCATATACATGGCTTTAGATTTGCCCTTTTAGAGCAATATTGCTAGCTTATGAACTTTTTCCTAAGCACATGAATGTTACTAGCTAATTCTAGTTGAGCACTCCTGCCCTGACAGAAAGGGAAGTATGAGCCAGTATGTTCAACACTGGAGATCACTATAACTTAGGTCATCCATGTAGGTTCTTTGTCTCAACAGACGAATGAGTTTTTTGCCAGAGAACTCATTCCATATAAGGGGCAACATGTTTGGGACAGCAACCATGTGAAATTGCCTCCAGGTCACGTAAGTCTACATGTTTTAACTCCTTTTGGGGCCAATCTTTTACAGGGAACTGGTTTGTGTTAGATTTGCATGATGTAGACAAAATACTAGTATTGCAATTATATTGTCACATATAGTGGGATTTGCCATATATTGCAATAAGGGAAAGGCACTGGTGAATTAACAGTGTCACATAATTAAGGACTGGCCTGCATTACTTCAACTAAATCTTAATTATGATTAGTTGGAGTACATGAATACTTTGATCTATCAAAACACACACAAACACTTATAGGGAACTATAATTGGTTAAGTTTCTCAGAGTAAACAGCTGTTTGTTTGCGTTGCTATGGTAGCAGTCTGTGCGCCAATCTTCAGGGTTGAAGGGTGAATTAGCAGATATATAAATATATATATATGAATAATTAACTTCAGCGTTTTAGACCATTTATTGTTAAACTGTGTTGAACGATCAGCAGAGCTTTATTTTACTGCAAAGGAGGATTATTTTATTTTTACCTAAAATCTTATTCTGCTGTGGAGCCACAACAGAGCAGTACAAGACTTAAGCAGTCTCCAGTGAGAGGCCTCTGGAGCCGCATGTTGCCGACCCCTGGGTTAGTAAATGAGGCTCATTATGATTGGTCAGGGAGCTCACTTGGATTTTGGCTTTCTGTTACATCAGCGTTGCAAAATCCAGCGTTACGATAACAATTAACAAACAATATACTATACTGTTACAGAGCCTTGCTGTTGACATCCCGTATAAATAAAAATAATGCGTGGCCACGACTTAGTAAGTCATGGGAATGAGATAATAAAGTCGTGGCCACCCCTTAGTAAGGCGTAGTTAGTTAGTCATGGCCAGGCATTAGGATCTCATTCCCATGCCTTAATAAGTCGTAGCCACAACTAAATTATCTTGTTCCTACGCTTTAATAAGTTGTGGCCATGCATTATTTTTATGTGTATAGGATGTCACCAGAGGGGCTCCGTATACTGTAGTATTCATGATGTGTTTCTTTTATAGCCAAAGAGTAACTCTGAGGCTCGCTGGAAAGCCATACAGAGAGCGCTACACGATCTCGGAACGGGCGGAGCTTCATTGGGAGACGTAGAGGTATGACGGTATGCCTTTACTTTAGCAATAGTTTACCTCACTGTAATGACTTCTGTGTCAAACCAAAGCAGAAGCTGTTAAAGGATTTTTCTCTGTTTTTTTCAGATGGCCATTAAGTCGTACAATCCCTCTCACCAAATGGAATGGCCTTTCGATTCCCTTCACAACTACGTTAAGGTCAGCATGCAAAAATCCACAGAAGTGTTTTTGTTTGTATATATTTGTAAGTGTATTGTGCTGTGCAAAAGTCAGAGACCCCCCATTCATTTATGTCATTTCCAGTCAGAATAGCCATAATGTGCAAGTTGCTCATTTTTCAGGAAATATTTCAGAGAATAGAAATAAGAAAATCAATCGTCTAGACTACAGCATCACTGAATGTGTTCGGGGTGACTTGGATCATAAGAAGTAGAAAATGCAACCAACTTCTAAGACTGAACTGACATGCCAAATACTGAAAAATCTGATTTCTGTCTGATTTTCGTTATATATACAGTACTGTGCAAAAGTTTTAGGCACCTGTGAAATTGACAGTTAAAACCTGTTTACCTATTACCTAAGTGTATTATCTTATAAAAACACTAATATTAAAATAATTACAAATAATAATAAGTAGCGGTTTTTCGTCACTGTTTTTTATTTCCAAAAATCTCGTCATCCGTAGTCATCATCCAATTGTTCTTTAAATTAGCGTACAAGATATCATCTATTAAAAAAAAAGAAATTCATGTTACTTTTTATTGTATTTATGCTTATTTTCATTTATTCTAATAATATGTGGTGATTTACAAGCAGAGCACACTTATTGCCAAGGACATTTAGAACTTTTGCACAGTACTGTATGGTTTCTGACAAATATCTTGTACTTAATGGCCGGTTTCACTGGAAATGAAGCAAATAAAGGGTGGTCCCTGACTCTTCCACAATACTGTGCACCTTCCTTATACTGGCTATTTTATCAGGAACACCTACCATATAGGTGCACATTGTAGATTTACAGTTACTGATGGTAGCCCATCTACTGCTGCACAATTTATCAGCCCCACACTACTGGAAAGGGCCTACCATAGAACCACCGCTGACCAGATATTATTTAGGTGGTGGACCATTCACCATTCATAATGGCCTGATAGTGTGTGTTGCACTGATACAAATGTATCACGCACTGCAAGGAGGTGTTTCCAATAAAATGGCCGGTGATTTAAAGAAAAATGTAGATGTACTTAAAGAACAGGTAACTCTTCATCGACAATAAAGTTTGCTTATGCCTGAATTTGTCCATCAGAGTGTAAACACGAAGGAGAACAATTTTTCACACGTGATCTCCAAAATGGCCAGGCTGGCATTGCAGCTACCGGATCTCATCAAACATGTGAGAGCTGATTTTTTTTAACATTATTAATGATGCAGTTGCTGTAAAGTTTTTCTTCAGGTACATTAAGGCTTTTAGAGGTAGCGGATTGTATGGCACAGTGGGACACTTCACTGCCCTCCACATGGCACACTAGGGTTTTGATTCCCTGCATGGGAAGACACCCCAGGCTATACCAATAAGAGTCCTTGGGCAAGACTCCTAACACTACATTCAGTTACCTCTGTAATGTGATTAGATTGTAAATCGCTCTGGATAAGAACACGTGCCAAGTGCATAAATGTAAACCGTCCCAAAACGGCAAGCCTGACAAACAAAGGCAATTATTTGTTTATTTATTTTGTCGAGTTAGTTTGATCTGTAATACGCTTTGCTTCTGCACAGCCCATTCCTCTGCTGAAGCAGCACCGCAGCCATGCCATAACACTGTCCCAGGTACAGATCTCCTGCTTGTTGGCCAACGCCTTCTTCTGCACCTTCCCCCATCGCAACACCACTAAGCCTGGCAGTGAATATTCCAGTTACCCCACTATCAACTTCAGCAGGTATGACCCCCGACTGTTCTTACAACACTTTATACATATAGCATAATATACAGCAGGGCAGTTTTTCAGTGTACAGTTGTATGCTAAAGTTCGAACACCCCAGTGACATTATTTGTTGATTTTCTAAGTAAAATAAGTTAATTTCCTTTACAAGGAACAAACTTAGATATGGCTTAACATACTGGGAAACAAATAGAACATAAAATGTAAAATATGCTATAACTTTTGCACAGGCCACATTTTATGTTTTGTTTTTGTCCTAATATTTCAGCAAATAATAAATAAAATTATAATTCAGCAAGTAAACCTGTGCTTATGCATTGAATTGTGCATCTTTCAGAGGATGTGTTAACTCACTTTCACTTAGAAAATTAACAAAGTGGAATTTGACCAGCAGCCCGAACTTTGAAAAAAGGACCGCATGGGGTCCCTAAGCAACATTTCCTCTCACACATCGCAGTTATAGTATTTCGTATGCCATAATCAAGAACAGCTCATAAGGTATATATTAGTAGTGGCGTACGCTCAGGCCCAGTGTCATGAGATCACTTAGAGGTCATTCATCATGTCCTGCTAACCCCCTTGAATATTGTGACATTCCACCCACCAAACCCTTTAGATTAAAAGCACCCAAATGTTTTGCCATTAAAATGACTGTACACTGTAGCTTTCTACACATTTTTAATTTTCTTAAGTCTCATCCTTTTTTTTTTGATGTCTTTCCTGTATTTTCACAGCCTGTTTGGTCAGACATGCATGCGGAAGACACAGAAGCTGAGATGCCTTTTCCATTACTTCAACACTGTAACTGAAGAAGGTAATGCGCCCAACACTAGTTAGGACAGCTACTTTTTTCTCCTGAACGTCCTTTTAGTAATAAGGTAATTTATTGAAATTGAGTCCCTCTCTATGAAACCAAAGGTCAGTGTACTGTGATGTTCTTGTATTATCAACATAGCCAGTCATATGCACTATATGGCCAAAAGTATGTGGTACACCTGACCATCACACATATATTAGCTTAATCCACCTCCCATTCCTAAACAAGGGGCATTAATGTGGAGTGGGCCCCACTCTCATCGGAAGGCTTTCCACAAGGGTATCTCTGGGAATTTGTGCCCATTCAGTCAAAAGTGAGGTCAGGCACTGATGTTGGATGAGAAGGCCTAGCTCGCAACCAACATTCCCAATTCATTCCAAAGGTGTTCAGTAGGGTTGAGGTCAGGGCTCTGTGCAGGCCACTGCAGTCCAACTCATCAAACCATGTGTTTATAGATGTCGCTTTGTTCACAGGGGCACGTGTTCCCCAAACTGTTGCCACAAAGTTAAAAGCATATACTTGTCTAAAATGTCTTTGGATACAGTAACGTTAACATCACCCTTCACTAGAACTAAGAAAGGGGCCCAAACACTGAAGAACAGGCTCAGACTATTGTCCCTCCTCCACAAAGCTTTACCTACAGCACTATGCATTCCGGTAGGTAGTTTTTTCCTGGTATCTGCCAAAGCCAGATTTGTATATCATACAGCCAGATAGTGAAGCGTGAAGGTGGCATCCTATGGCAGTTCCACATTTAAAGTCACTGACTTATTCTGTTGCCAGTGTTTGTCTATAGACATTGCATAGCAATGAGTGTGGCTGAAACACATAAACTCAGTAATTAGGAGGGGTGTCCACATACTTTAAGCCATATAGTGTACATTTTAGTAAGCATGTCAGTATAATATAAAGACATAAATGAGATCAGGGTAGGATATTCTGTGTAATAAATGTAAGTTTACATGTCTCAGCTGATGATGGTCATATCTTTTTGAAGATCACTAATAGTTACTACTCTTGTGTGCTGTTGTACTCTATTGTGTAATAGACACAAAACCTGATGGACTAGTCACTTTTGAAAGAATCTGCATCCCACCAAATGAGCTCCCCAACTGGAAAAGGTAAGTGACTTTTGCTTTTGTTAGTGATGCAAACACAGACACTAACAAAGCTGGGTGCTAACTCTAAATCTATTGACTTCTAGGCAAAAAGAGACTATGTCCAACCTTCATGTCACTTCCAAAGGCACCATTGAGAAAGAAGGTAGTGGTATGCTGCAGGTTAGTCTTTGTATTCTTTCACTTTTCATTTTGCTTCCTACACACAGCAAGTGGACTTTGAAGATGGTATTGATGGGTTAGTGGGCCTGAATAAACTGGTTGAACTGGTTGCTTACCAACCTGTGAAACCAGCATATTTCACTCTTTACACCAGACAGTCCTTTGTTCTTTCATTGTTGGACAGGTGGATTTCGCCAGCAAGTTTATAGGTGGAGGGGTGCTGGGAAGAGGATTGGTCCAAGAAGAGATCCGCTTTCTTCTGAGCCCAGAGCTGATCGTGGCCAGGCTGTTCACTGAGAAACTGGCTGACAATGAGTGCCTGAAGATCACAGGTAGTAGGCCAGGCTGCTTAAAAGCACAGCCGTATGCATTATTGAACTATTAACTTATGCAGCGTCCAGGGTAATGGAGGTTTTGAGAGGTTGAAGTCATGGCCAGTATCTGTTTGCCTTATATGGATTCTGACTTTATTCCTCAGGAGTTCAGACATACAGTGTTTGTTCTGGCTACAGCGATTCCTTTAAATGGCTTGGTCCATATAAAGATGACACCGAGAGGTAAAGAAGCATTACAAATACTAAATCCTTACAATGCTTTCAACAGCTATAAGGAGTTCACCCTCCACAAAGCTCTGTCTTAAATCAAAGGTTTAGTTTTCCAGACTTTATTCTTCTATTCTGTGTAAATCAGACTCGCTGTGTTGAACTATTTTTGCTTGACATTTTCCTCAGTGCAATATCGCTCATAACATCATTATAATAAGGGTAGTAGTGGGTGGTATAGACAAAAATCCATGGTGTAGTTAAATTTTCCTAGTGGTAGTATATCTTGTATATTGGTGCTGTAGCTTCATAGCTCCAAAATAATAACTTTACAGGAGAAGGAAAAAACATACTTTACTTTTAATGTTATAATATTTCCCAAGTAATTCTGGGCCATTTATTTTGGTCCATTCATCTTGAAGTTTACACACAATATACAGGACAGTAGGTATTTTCAAATTATGTCAAAAACGGAAAAACAACAAAAAATGGAGATAAGAGGTATTGGTCCGACAGCAGCAATATATGCAGTATATATTTGTTAAGCAAAGCTATTTTAGGTGCTTAACTAACCTATTCTTATAGATTAACCTTTTTTATTCTGGAATGTCACTTCACTTTTAATGAAACCATATTTAACAACTGAAGTAAATCTAAAATAATTTTATTGCAAAAATAGTAAAAACAATAATGACTAGGGCCCCAAGACCACAGTGTCTTTAGCTGTCAGGCAAAAGGACAACCCAAACAGAAATGGCAGTTTGTTCCATATTTACAAACTGACGAGACATCCAGGCTAACCTTAGCGTTGTTTGAGCTGTTTGTACATTGTTTATTTGGTGCATACTTGTATGAAAGGTTATGACAAAACTCTTACTTTAAGAAGAATTTCAGCTGGTATACCAGGTGAGCTGGTCTGTCGCCCACTGCTAAACCAGGGACAAACTGGTTTTGTGTTACAGAGATGAGTGGAAAAGGCGGTATTGTCAGATTGTTGCCATCGATGCTTTGAGCTTCAAGGACCCCAGGGAGCAGTACACTGAGGAAAACTTAAAGCGAGAGCTCAACAAGGTCACCGTCTCTCTGGAACATTGATGCAATGAAGTTTATGGATATAAACTTTGTACCTTTTATTTGATTAGCTGATTTTCATTCTCCATCGCGTCCATTTTTAGGCCTATGTCGGCTTCAGGGGGGATCCTCATATTCCTTCTGACTACACTCCCGCCATTGCAACTGGCAACTGGGGATGTGGTGCTTTTAACGGTGATCCAAGGCTTAAAGGTAACTGACATCATATAGAAAGTATGTAAATATGCGTAAGTGGAATTCTCACCAACTTAATGTATAAACTAAATATCTATCATCCTTTAAAAGCTCTCATTCAGATGATGGCTGCAGCTGTGGCTAAACGAGATTTGGCGTTCTTCACCTTTGGGAAGAAGGAACAGGCACAGGATCTGCAGAGAATGCACCACTTGCTGAAGGCTCGCAAAGTCACTGTGGGTTAGTACCAGATTAGCCTCACTCTGTACTTTTTGGTTTGCTCTTGAATAATTTGATGAGCTCTGCTCTGATTTGCCGCTTTACAGCGAGGCACCATGATGGCCCACATGGAAGCAATATGTCGAAATAGACTCAGGCAGGAAAATAAATAAATAAAAAAAAAACTCCATGTAAATAAGCCAGGTCATCATACTATTTAGTTAGCTATGCTAGTTACTTGGAGCTTGCTAGTAGCTAATGTTACCTGTACTAGCTACTTGCTTTCAATATCAACAACAACACAAATTAGTTAACTCACAGTGAAACTTTCAATTTAAGATAATCTGGCTTCAGCCATCAAAAAGTGCATAATGTCACACAGCATGGCTGCTAGTTGCGGTTGGGGTTGTGATGCTAACCTCTGTCTCTTTAGGGTCAAACGCTAAGAACAGCCAGCTTGATATTGTTCAAGGTCTGAGAAACTGTCCAGAGTAAAATGTGCAGAGCAAACTAACAACTTTGAATTGAAGTTGTCTGGGGTCCTGTTTAACATGTGGGAGCTGAAGTTGGCTTCCTGTTTGCCAGCTTGTTTGAGAATTTTCCTTTCCACCTTAAATAGTGCTGCAGTTACATTCTGGGGCTGTACAGTTGGTAGCATTTAAGGTGGAATGAAACATTGATCAAGTCGCTGGCAAATAACTTCAGCCTTGTTTAAAGACGAACATCTGCCATGCCTGTTGACAGTTCAGTCCTTTGGGAAGGATATGAAAAATGCAGACATGCCCTTCACAGCTTGTACATTACATTTCTACACACAGTGCCATTTTCATTGCTGTAGCTCCAGGTAGAACATGGGCTGGTGTATGTTTTGAGGGTGTAAGTATTAATGAGTCGAGACTATTACATAACAGTTATGGATTTTGGAATTGGCCCGTTTTACTGGATTTGCATTTGAAGGAGGAGATAACAGTGTTTGAGGTTTAGAGTATGTCAGTTCCATGTACCAAACTCTGCTTATTCAGCTTTGCCAGTGAAAATACAGTTTTCCATTCTGTGACACCTTTAAGCTCCACATGAACTTATAACAGTGTTTTGGTGTTGCTGTATTGCCACAGCTGATGAAAGTGTCCTTCCTTCCACAGGTGATTTATACATGCAGCTGAAGAGGTACTGTGATGAATACAGTCGTTACCAGCATAAGAAGAATGTCTTTGAGTTTGTCAAAGAAACGGTCGGTTCTCCTTCTAGTCAACTGTGAAGCAGACGCAAACACAGTACTTGAGAGGAACGCTGAGAGGAATAGTCTGACTCACATAACGAAGAAACTTTAATGAAGAAATGGAATGAACATTTGGGTTCAGGGTTTACATTTGTCTGCAATAGAATCTTAACTGAAATTACCGCATGTGGTGTTGCACTTTATATAATGATTTTATTAGGGTGCTTATTTCATTTCCTGTGACATTATCATAATGCATTTTTGTAAATAATAAATAAATCCTTTCCTTGCCAAAACTGTGGGCATGGTGTTTATGAGAATAACACAAACAAATAAATAAAAAATAATAATACTATTATTATTTTTAAATATAATACTTGTAGAACTAAAACCAATTTTTTATTAGCATTGTGTTTCAGGAAATTCTCATGGATCCAGTGTTTTAAATCTGTGACACATGCAATTCATGACTGAGGTCATAAGCATAACAGTGAAAATTAAGATTAAGAATATAAATTATCTGACCGAGGAGAAAAATGTATGTAAAGAATAGTAGGGGCCCGAGGACAGAACCCTGGGGCGCCCCTGAGCATCAAGGGTAGTGTTTACCTATAAAGATAAACTGCTGCCTGCTTATAAGATACAAGATAAGATAATATATCATGAAAAAAAGTATCAAAAACCTGCACTGAGGTCAAAGAGGGTGTGAAAGCCAAATTAAAGGGGCTCATAGAGACCATTTCTAGTATGAGTGTACAACTCTTTTCATCACACAAGCTCGGTCTATAATTAGAGAGGAAGAGAGCGAGAGGGAGGAAGTGTCTAAGCCAGCTTCTTAAGAACAGATGTGCAGCCATTTTGAAGGAAGTAGTACCTGAAGAGAAGCATGCATTCATCAAATGAGCAATAGATGGGGAAATAGCAGAGAAGAGCAGTGAGGGCAGGGTCAGGCTAACAGTAAGAGATGGAAGACTGGGGGATGATGTCAGAGACTATAGATAAATAAACAGAGATGAAGGCAGAGGGAAAGGTTTTATGGGAGAGCAAAAATCCAAAAAGGCCTGCTATTGGTCAGGAGATAGGAGTAGATGAAATGGGAGCCTGTGTAAATTTGTTTATTCTCCTAAACAGAGTTTTTGGCCAAGAACTACCACCATTAAGGGTGGCTGAATAGTAGAACAGTTTGGACATCCTTAGGAACATGCTCAGTAAAGTGTAAACAATGAGTAGCAAGGCCAGATTCCCCACTGGGTTATTATTGGGTCTTATTTCTGAGTTCTGGGGTGAGCCTGGGGCCTGTCTAGGGGCACAGACGATAAGTACAACGCTTTTGGCAAACTGTCTTCAATTCCCTAAGGTTATGAGGGTCCCTCTGATTGATCTGCAATTCAAAATCCTCTATAGTTGGTACTTAAGTAAGGCTACTGGCAAGGCCATGCAAGCATTTTAAACATTTAAGAAATCAGTCTTGAGTTATTTTGACTATGTTTGGGGTTGTTTTCTATGCCTTCTTGGCTGGTGAGATTAAATTCTTTTCAATACATCCTGGTACGTCTTTCAATGACTTATTTGCAGAGAAGTAGCCTCATGTTATGATGCTCCCACCTCCATACTTCACTGCAAGTGGTGTGGGTTTATACATGCAACCTTTTTTTTTTTTATTCCCAACAAACATCATCATCATCATCATCATCATCATCGTCATTAATCGCTTAGTCCAGCCTGGACAAAAGAGGAGAGGGACCATCCAGTTTGTTATCAGCACACAGTTCAGGCAGCTTCTGTGAGGGTATAGGTGTGCATTAGTTCACATGGCATGGTTAGCTTGCACGTTGGTGAAGGCACCATTAAGGCTGAAATATATATATATATATTACACACACACACACACACACACACACACACACACACACACACACACACACACACACGTTTTGGCAACATATGCTGCCATCCAGACATCGCCTTTTTCAGGGGAGGCCTTATTATTTCAGCAAGACAAAGTCAAACCATATTCTGAATGTATTACAACAGCATTGCTCTATAAAAAGTCAGGTTCTGAACTGACCTGCCTGCAGTCCAGACCGGTCACAAATTTAAAACATTTGGTGCATTGTGAAACAAAAATTAAGACAAAGCCGACCCCAACCAGTTGAAGTTGAAGAGCTGAAGTCTTGTATCAAGCAAAAACGGGAAAACACCACGCCTCTCAAAACCACAGCAGTTGGTCTCCTCAGTTCCCACATGCTTACAGAGTGTTGTTAAAAGAAGAGGTGATGAAACAGTGGTAAACAGGCCCCCGTCCCAATGTTTTTTGGAACATGTTGTTGGCATCAATTCAAAAAGGGGCATATATTTTTCTAAAAACAAATAAAAAGTCGCAGTTTCAATATATGATATGTTGTCTTTGTACTATTTTCACTTAAATGTATGTTTTAAATGATTTGTACATCATTGCATTGTTTTTATTTACATTTAGCGCATCCTCCCAACTTTGAGTTTATACATTAAATAAGAAAAAAAGTGTCTAAATACTTGTTTTACCTCACTGTATATTACAAAGTATCATTATAATATGAAACCATGACCTCACATTCTAGGAAAAAAAAATTAGGCCAAACAACCTCAATGAAAGAGGTTCACCTTTATTGAATGAAGGACTATAATACTTTGGAATGAACATACAATAAAATATGGAATGAAAATAAATAAAAATCCCTTTCATTAGTCCTGGAGAGATCAGTTCAACTTGCAGCTTGATCTCTGTTTGACCTTCATAAATTTACAAGAGGATATGCCATCTTTGCTCGAGTGATCTCTTGAATGCTTGTAACGTTTTGGCACAGAGGTCAGATATGATGCAATGAGAAGGACATGGATGGCAAAAGAAGAGACGGTTGACCTGCTTGTCCTCTACTCCGAAAAGCTGGAACTGCTAAGTACTAAGGATCAGTTTTCCACACCAGGGACCTGCTGGGCAAACTGGACTTGTTTACATTCAAATACAGTGAAGCTCATTATCTAAAACTGCTCAAACAAGCAAGTACGGAATGTTCCATTCGCAATCAGGTAAAACATTGTGCGTTTCTTTAAACCATCTGAAAAAATCTGGGCAGTCCACTGTGCATTCATCCAGAAGACTTCCAGTTTGGAGAACGAGACTGTGTTCAATGAGGTTTGCAAACCTTTAGGTGTTGCGCTTTTGATTATGTGTGCCTTGAGTTATAAACAATGATTAAAAAGACCATGAAGTAAAGGATGCATAACTGAAGAAGGGGTATTGTCAGATGGACTTGATGAACAAAGGGAGGCTGAACAAGGTTAGCTGGTAGCATTAACTGTGTTGCAAGTCTCTGAATGTCAATGCTGCTTTGTGGAACTCATCAGCAGAAAAGACTGCAGTAAGTAATGCACGCGCCCCTCAGTCTCCCGCCCCTCCAAGTATTTTTCAGAACGCTACCAAATACTTTCAACTTCATTGATGAATGAAAGTTTTGATTTTTGTACTGACATAAGGCCTAGCAGTAGGCCTTCTGTTAAACTCAAAAAGAAAAGCAATTATTACCGTCTCTAATGCTCCAGGAGTGAGGCAAGACGGAGTCAGTGCCAGTGCAATGGCTGGGCAACACTTAGATCCTACCAGCGACTCTCTGTGTTCTGTGGAGACTGTTAGTGCCTTTAGTGGATATGCAGGGATGAAAGGATGGCACTTGGCCAGCAGACAGTGGGGTAGGGTTAAGGGCAGTGAAGAAGAGAGGCATTTAGGGCTGGCCCTGGAAGGCGTCCAGGTTGAAGGCCTTGTCCAGGAAACGCTCCAGCTCGAGGAGATGGGCCTTCTTGTTCCCAGTGGCGGGGGCAGCAGCTGGCTCACGCCCAGCGTATCTGAGAACAAGAGCAACACCGGTTCAAACGCAAATGAAATTTTTATCAGTGGGAACTCAGGAAACATGCAAAAAGACAAAGTGGTGTGCATTTCTAATGAAGTCTCACTGGACAGGACGAGCACGGCCAATAGTGGTGCAGATGCGTGGCTTGATGTAATCATAGTAGCCCTGGTTCTTGTGCTCCTCCTGGCACCATAGCACCTCAGCCTGTGGGTACTTATCAATTTCTGCCTTCACCAGGTCAAACGGGAACGGAGAAAGCTGCAAAACAATCCACACTGGTTGGGTCACATTGTTTCTTTTAGATTTTTGTCTTTTTAGATTTATGAATGACTGCAGTACCTGTTCAAAGCGGGCAATAGCCACAGTATCCTCCATTCCTCTGCTCTTGCGCTCTTTGGTCAGGTCATAGTAAACCTTTCCTGTGCAGAAGATGATGCGTTTCACTCCAGCAGGATTCTGGGATGCTGTGCCCTTCTCTGGGATCAAACGCTTAAAGTGTGTGCCTAAATACACACAAACCAAACAGTTAACACAAATTATGGCTACAAGATTTTAACATATTCAGTAATTGTGACTTGTTTGGTAACAAAATTGTAACTAAATTCTGAGTGACCCTGTGACCAACTATAAATTCCTAGTAATTAATAGTTATTGTGCATGCATACCCACAGCATACGCATTGCCAAAAAACACTCACAGAACTTTCAACTCGGGCTGGGTGACACAGACATAAAATATAATGTCCGATAAAGCTGCAGGATTTTATGATAACTATATGAGAAGCAATAAATTATTATTAAAATGGCGTTCCTCTGACTGGATGTGCAGCAAGTACAGGTTTTTTTTTTACTAACTAACCTCTCCCTTAGGCAAACAGCAAAAACACCATTCCCTTTTGTGCAAAATAAAAATAATGAAATTCTAATTGTACATTTCTGTTTATTGTAAACAAAGTTTACAAAGCCCAGTACAGGGAAGCACTTGTTGGGCTTCTAAAGCTACATTTCCACCAATCTAAGTCAGTTTGGCACTGTGTGTGATGTAATCTGATCCATTACGCCACTGCAGACCTTAACAATGTGTTAATCACAGAAACTCATATCGCAATAATAAAAATACGATTTGCTCAGTGCACTTGGCCCCCTTTATACCTGGTCGTAACATGTGACGTGGGCTCTGTTTACACTTGGCATTAAAATCTGATTGGATTATGGTGACTGTGTGTTAATGCTCAGTGTAAACAGGGCATCTGGATTGTAACCTGATAAGATTTAAACCACATGCATTTACACTTGGTAGTCAAATGCATAGGTGGTTCGTTAGCCAGACTGCATTAAAACGTAACTGTAGTGAGACAGTTATTAATGCGCTTTCTTTTAACAAGCTTGGGCCGCTAAAGGCTACTGCAGAAAACTAGAGATGCTATA